ATACGAACGAGAGAATGCATCTTACGACACTTGCATCCGTCCGCCCCCCTGCCCTTTTGGTACCCCCTTAGTGATATGTATGATTTACCAGCAGCCAGTAGCTTTAAGTTTGGGATTCGTGTATGCAACTCAGTTCACCCCTTTTCCCTTAATGACTTGTGTACATGCTACCGTTACGTGCCCACTTTAATGTACTATCTGTCTTGAGCGCGGAAACGAAGCGAGCGGAGGAAAAAGGAAAAAGGGGGCAACGACCTGCCGAAAAAAAAGAAAAAAAATGAAAAGAGAAAAAGAGGGAGGAGGCAAAAAAAAGAGAGAAAAATAGGGGAAGGGAAAGAGAGAGAGAGAAAGAGGGAGAGAAATAGAAAGGAAGAAAGGTCGTGCGACCCACGCCACGTTCCCACTGACTAACATCGGTCTTTTTTTCTGCTTTCAGCTGCACAGATTCCACAACGCGGAAGTAAGTACGATTAAATTACGTTTGAAAAAAACCGCAACTCTCCTCTCCTACTACCACCTCTTTCTTCCTCCGTCGACCTTCTCCCCTTCATCCCCCTCCTCCTCCTCCTGTTCAGCACCGCGATTACCGCCGCTCACCGCCACCAGCAGCCCGTCGTCTCCTTTTTTCGTCCCGTAATTGCGATTATCGTCTATTAGACCGTTCAGAAGAGGAAGCGCGGAATCCGCAGGGAAATGTCACGGCTTTCCGCCGATCGCGCGATCGAGTCCTACTCTCCTCCTCGCCCATGAATGGACGAGAAGAACTCGAGGGGTCGATTGAGCGATCGGCGCGACAAGACTGCCTCTTCCGCGGATTCGAGTGAACGTCGCGTTTCCTTCGGGTAGATTCGGATTCTCGGGGACTCGACGCTCCTTCTTCATCTTGAGATCCGTTCGCGGGCAAAGGCGGTACGGCTGAACAGATTTGGTTGCGTAGATTTGGGTCAACCGCCGCGCGCATTGTTTTCTTCGTATCGCAATTCGCGGACTTTCGAGTGTTCAAGCCGTCGCAGGCTGAAGAAACACGACGATTCCGCGGTCGGTTTCGGCCGCTAACGAATTTAACGGAGGAGATGCAGTACGATCGCCGTGACGATCGGCGAGACAGACGACCGAGGCACCGTTATCGATCTCCCCCGGGCGTGCAGCAACTATTCCTCGTCTTCCCGAAACTCCGACGCGAAGTGACTCGGAGCGTCGCGTCGAGTAGAAACTGCGGGCCCGAAATTGCGGGTGTAACGTCGCGAGCGCAGCAATGTCGCGCGAGAACACCGGTTTCACGTATTCGCGCGGGACAAAACGGTGTGTAGCTTCCCCGACGACGACGACGATGTCGTCGCTGTCGTCGTCTGGTGCCACGCACGCAAGCACGCACTTGTACACATAGGTACGCACGCACCGCCCGCTCACGGATTCCTCTAATTGCAGCATGCAAGAGGAAAGACGAGATGGCGAGCCAGGCAGAACACCAACAGCCCGCCCCCAAGAAACCGCGGCTGGTTTTCACAGACCTTCAGCGCCGTACTCTACAGGCTATTTTTAAAGTGAGTACCGTGCACACGACGTAACTTATCCCCCCTGATCGATAGTAATTGCCCCCCGGCGATGCACGGGGAAATGAATATTGAGAGAGGGAGGGAGGGAACGCGCGCGCGCGCGTGCCACCGCCGCGGGACTGATCCGCTTGTTAGCGGCGGCTAACTTTCGCGGTTGGAAGTGCATACATACGTTCGAGCTTGCATCATGCGATTGCACTCGGCTCGCGAGGACACACCTGTGCACCTCGCCACTGAAGGGGGGG